TGCTTCCAGTAATTTTTTAATTACTAAATATGTACTGCTAACGTCATAGTTTTGTGATATTTCTTATAGCTCTAAAAGAATAAAATTTTTGCATTCTATGGAAGTACGAATATTGCATAACTACTATTTGATTGCTTTGCTCCTTAATTATATTGGTAACACATCATTTATAATAACACAAACGTTCATCGATTTTGATTGTTCTAATAGTATACAGTCATATATAATTGTGTAATCGTAATAAATAGATATAAGGAAATAAATAACAATGTTTTACGTTTACAAATTGTAAAGCAAACAGAAATTACTGTTAGTTACGAAAACTGGAAAATCGAAAGACGCTCAAAATCTCACAGTGAAACATAATATTGAAACAATAGTTATGAAACAAAATTATTAATATATCGAAGTAAAGAACATACTTAAGTAATAATAAATTTCTCTTTTTATTTCAGGTCATAGGTCCTGTTTCTGGGTGCCACGTGAATCCAGCTGTATCAGTTGGCCTCCTTATTAGCGGAAATTGCAGTTTCCTAAAAACGATATGTTACATAGTTTGCCAATGCTGTGGAGCAATTGCAGGTTCAGCTGTCTTGAAGGTACCACAGCATCTTATTAATTATCAAATATATTTTAGAAGTGATACATGATTATCTTATTAGTATCATACCTTCATTTATGTATCAAACGAATTAAATCTTAATTTAAACAAGAGAAACACATAAAATCTTTATCTAAAAATCGTTTCCTAACAAAATAACAAATACAAATCTTGCACTACAAATTAATCCTTCTGCAGATCAACCTTTTTAAAAAATAAATTAACCCTTCTGGTGGTTTTATTTATACTTTTGAAAATCCAAATCATCTTTTTATTCGAATTTATATACTTTTTTATATACTTACAATACAAATGTCATTATAAATAATTAATCTTCATTAAATTTCATTAATTGTATAATAATAATAGAAGTGTCGTTCAATTTTCTAATTTAATATGAATTTTATTATAAATAATTACATCAATGAATTCCATATGCAAAAGAGTGAATATTTCATTTGCAAAAGGATGAATTGAAAATGAAATGATCTAAATACCGTCAAAGTATACGTATTCTACACTTAGTAAAAAGA